CCGGCCCGCGTCAGCGACAGCACCAGGCCGATGGAATTGGCCTCCAGGGGGCCGCGCAGCTGGACCTCGGCGCTGAGCTTGCCGTGGTGCAGCGTGCGGTACATGCCCTTGGCCTGCGTCAGCACGACGCTGTCATGCGCCGCCAGCTCGGCGGGCGTCTGCGGCGCGGGGCGGGCCTGCAGGTAGACGGGGCTCGGCGTACAGGCCGCGCTCCAAAAGCATGAACTGCCGGGCGATCAGGTCGGGCTCGTCCACCGGGCCCACGCGCACGGCCACGTCGTAGGGCTCGTTGAACAGGTCCACGCGGCGTGGCGTGGTGTCCACCTCCAACTCCACCTGCGGGTAGCGGCGCACGAAGCGGGCAAAGCTCTCGGCCAGCACCAGCATCGCGAATTCGGCCGGCACCGACACCCGCAACCGGCCCTGCGGCGTGGACCTCGCGTGAGGCCAGCCACTGGCGGGTCTCGGCAATGTCGTCGTCATGCCGGGCGGCGCGCTCGGCGAGTTGCTCGCCGAGCTCGGTCAGCGTCAGGCGGCTGGCGCCGGGCACGAACAGGCGCGCGCCGACCGCGGTTTCCAGCGCCGTGAGGCGCCGGCTCAGCGTTGCCTTGGGCAGGTCCAGCTGGCGCGGCCGCCTCGGACAGCGAGCCGGCCTTGTGCACCTGGGCAAGGAGCAGGAGGTCATCGATTTTCATGGGCAGGCGGCTTTGTGTTTCGATTTCGGAACGGACCGTTTGATTTTTATGTCTTTTCCCCGGAAATGGAACTCTCTACAGTCCGCCCCATCATGTCAACGCCCCGTCTGCTGCAACCGCAACGCACGCGCATCGGCTCCGGCTTCCAGGCCGAGGGCTGGCGGGAGCCGCTGGCGCTGCTCGACCCGTTCATCATGGTCGACCACTTCCGCATGAGCGAGCCGGCGTTCGCGCCGCACCCGCATGCGGGCTTCTCGGCGGTGACCTACCTGTTCGACGACTCGGCCAGCGGCGTCATCAGCCGTGACTCGCTCGGCGGCGAGCATGAAATCCTGCCCGGCGGCCTGCACTGGACGCTGGCTGGCCGCGGCGTCATCCACGACGAATATCCGATCACGCCCGGCGCCACGGTGCATGGCCTGCAGATCTTCGTGAACCTGCCCGCCGAGCAGAAGCTGCGCGAGCCGACCGTGTTGCGGCTGTCGCCCGAGCAGATGCCGCGTCGCGTCGGCGAGGGCTGGCGCGCGATCCAGGTGTTCGGCGGCACGGCGGAACTGACGCTGCCCTGGCCGACGTCGCTGGCCATCGTCGATGTCGATGCCGGTGCACGCTACACGCCCGACGTTGCCGACGGCGAGCAGGGCTTCGCGCTCGTCATCGAGGGCAGTGGCACGGCCGCCAGCCTGCCGCTGTCGGTCGGCCGCGCGCTGTCCCTGCCGGGGCGGGGCGCCGTGCAGGTGCAGGCGGAGGAAGCCCTGCGCCTGGCCGTCTTCACGGGCCGCCCGCTGGGCGAGCCCCTGGTGCGCCACGGCCCTTTCGTCATGAGTGACGAGGGGCAGGTGGTGGCCGCCCTGCAACGCTTCCAGACCGGTGGCATGGGCCGCCTGGCGGCCCGTCCGCTTCAAGAACAACGCTGAACGCCTGAACCCGAAGGCACGAGAGGAAACCGCATGAATGCTCCGCAAAACCAGGCTCCCGCCGCACCGCTGCCGGCCGACAACGGCAAGAAGAGCGGCCCGCCGGTGCCGCTGATGATCATTGGCGCGCTGCTGCTGATCGGCGGCATCGGCCTCGGTGGCCGCATGTGGTGGCGTGCCCAGCATTACGTCGGAGACCGACAACGCCTTCGTGGCCGGCCGCATCCACCCCGTGGCCACGCGCGTGGCCGGTGTCGTGACCGAGATGCGCATGCAGGACAACGCCGTCGTGAAGGCGGGCGATGTGCTGCTGCGCCTGGACCCGGCCGGATGCTGCCGTGCAGATCGAGCGCCTGAAGGCCCAGGTCGCGCAGGCGGAGGCCGCCATCGCCACCAGCACCGCGCAGATCGCCCAGGC